GACAAAAAAACTCAAATCATTAATCGAAACAAAATTCAAATTTTAATCAAGTGAGTAAATCCAAATCATCATCTTACTTAGAAAATGAGGATAAAGACGAGAAAAGCATAAATCTGCAATTTTGTCCCTTAATGTAGAAACAGCACATTAAACTATTTAAACTACAAAGAGAAAAAAACACTAAGGACCTTTTCGATATACGGGAACTGAGCAGACATCATGCGAACAGCCACAAAAGTATCGGTTAATGCCAAACTATCCTCTGTATATCAGAAATCGAAATAATGAGAAACAACTGGTTAAGGATGAGAAGAATCAAAGAGGCCGAAAGATAAAGACACGAGTACAAACCAAAAAGAAGAGAACCATCGGAGCTTCCGGATTCAGGATCGCGTTGGCGTTTTCTGCTCGTCGATGCCGTCTCGTCCATACTTCCAGAGTTACAGGCGGATAAAATACGGGCATTTTCAAAGCGATGATATGGGCAGCAACTAAAAATTCTATATCCATATCCAAAATATAAATTATTTTAGTTCACATCCGGACACATTTACCTTTCGGGTCCTAAACATATGTTCCAGATTTGGATCTGCCGATTCTCAGATCCGGGTCTAGTGATGGCAACGGGGCGGATCGGGGACGGGTACACATAAAATCGAAACCGCCCCGTTGGATAAATGTTTGCCCCAAAACCGCCCCATTACCCATTCGGGTAATTTTTATTTGAACCGTACCCGCCCCAATAGGGAATCGGTTTATCCACGGGTAACCGTTTCCTCAAATGATACCAAATAACCATTTTTTTGGAAAACAAATAACCAATTTTTAATCCTACTTGTTATTTATATATTCAAAGCACCCTAAAACATACAAAAGTAAACATTTAAGCAATCAAGCAGACTGGCCTAAACTCATTAGTATGACATGCACCTAATATCTCTTGTAACATAATAAAAAAGTAGTAAGTGTCCTAGAATCCAAATTCCAAAAACAGGTTTAGGCCTATATTTAGTTTTAGGCCTACAAAAGTAGTATACTACCTCCGTCCCAAATTGATTCGCAAATTTGATTTTTCTTGGTCAAACAGTTTGATTTTATTTGCTTAATTAGGATGTCAATTTTTAATTATATTCTAATTTTGAATTTGCAATTTTGAAGAGATTTTAATGTAGTTTCTGAGTATGTGAATTTTAATTATTAAAAATTGAGTTAATTATCGATATAGAGGATTGACTTTTATTATTAGTTGACCAAAAAATGTTGACTTTGCAAAACAATTTGGGACAGAGAGAATACTTTTTAACATTATTTATATGATATATACGGAGTACTATTTAGTATACACAATTTAGCATATATACTTATTATTCTTATATATAAAAAGTTATAACTCATTAATAATATTACGGATCGGGTAACGGTGCGGGTACCCACACCATTAGTGAACCGGGCGGTTTCGGGGCGGATAACGGGGCGGATTAGTATAGAACCATAATCGCACCATTAACCATTTAAAAAATTCGGGTATTCCCCGCCCCGTGCCCATTCCCCAGTCAAACCGGTTTTCCCCAGTTTGACCAAATCGGTTCGGTGCGGGTATCCAACGGGTCGGCCGAAATTGCCATCTCTATCCGGGCCGGGTCTACCCGCAAAAATAACTAAATGACATATGCAAAAAAATATACGAAGTAATATATAACAAAAAATTGTTCATGTTGGAAGAGATCATATATAAATAAACAAAATGTTGTTCTATACATTACTCCTTATGAACTATACAATAATGTACGAAGTATGTTATACTCCCTTCGTCCCTAATAACTTTGCCAAGTTAGACCGGCATGGAGATTAATAAAGTAAAAATCGTGTAATTGAGCTTTGTGCAGAGGAAAGAGAACTAACCGGAACCACAAATTCTTTGCTTAAATGGGAAAGTGACAAAGTTAATGGGACATCCAAAAAAGGAAAACCTAGAACAATAACTCATCAACGAAAATCTCATTATAGTAGGCCAACCACTAACTAAGCCTGCAAATATTAAAACATTTTTATATTGATATTTTCCTTATTTTATGTTTAAATATTTCTATGTATATTGTGTGCGTATATGTAAAAAATTATAACTATAATTATATCATCACGGGTCGGGGCCAAAACGGGCCGGAACTTAAAAAAACCATATCCGACCCATTTTTTCTATCATTTAACGGGTTCGGATCCGGATCCGGAAAACGGTTCTAAATTTAGAGTCATACCCTCAAATAAAATGCCGGATTCGGATCGGGTCCGAGTCCAGACCCTACCCATTGACAGGCCTAGATATGTAGCTAAACGTCGATGGCATTTTCTCGTATCATAAAGAAAATCTTTAAAAAAATTGTTTTGCCTGTATTTCTTAGAAAAGTAATACGGAGTAAAAGAGACTACTAATTTTTTTTACTCCGGGGCGTCTGGGGGTGGGGTGAGTTTCGCACGAGACCTCCCATAAAAGACAGTGAGTCGACGACCAGCTGGACTAGACCGCTTCCTCATAAAAGAGACTATTAATAAAAATTATAGACATTATTACAATATTTCATAATTCTCGTGAACGTCTAAATCACGTTGTAGTAATGTTGTAGTAACTTAAGTTCAAAACTTGAACATGAATTACTATGATTTCATTACTACTCTAGTAAATAGTCATATTTTTGTAAAACATCTTTATTTTGGTCATATTTATGTAATTATTTCCTCAATTAATGAAGAGCTCAATATAATCAAACTTATCATTTTTATAATAATAATAATATATCTTTTATTTTTCATAGATTTCTTAGAAAAATAATACTCCGTAATTGAGACTACTGACATATGTTTCTCTACGCGCACATCTATAAAATTTTAGACATTTTTGTCAATATTTCAGAAGTCTCGCTAACTTCTTAATTAAGGAGAAGCCCAATATTATCAAACTTATATGTTCATATTATCAATTTAATCAGTCATTTTTTATTTAAAAAGTTCTTTTTTGACATGCTAAATAGTGCTTCAATTTAACAAGTACTTTTTTGACATGCTAAATAGCGTTTCAATAATAATATCATAATAAGTCATATTCTAATTACTTTTTTACTGAATTCAGTAAAGAAGACTATTTTTGTTTATTTTATTAACATGCAAAATAATTTTTTAGATATAATTTTTATAACTCATTAGATTCAACCAATTCAGTCAATTAAGTCATTTCATCCGACAATCAATTTCGGTGTTTCCAAACAAGTTCACAATTTCTTGTTGCTTCTACCAAAGGGTGAAATCGACCATTACGGCGCCTCCGCTTTAACGGATAGAGTTGTTTGAATTAATCATTGTAACTCAACTGGCCCGAAATCTTTGTTGTTCCAAAAGGTGGAATCTCCCATCCCATGAGCCCCCCACACCCCGAGCCGACAAAATGGTGAAGAAGTAATTCACGGTGACTCAGTCAGCCCAATGGTGATAGGCTTTATACATGTGCGCACCAGATGTCCAACCCAGCACATATGAACTGTAACCTCCACATGACCGCTGCGGGTTTAGAACATCGGTGATTGTTCCAAATTTCCCACCACTCAACCAATCGAGCTACTCGTGCAGGTAACTTGCCCCAAATCTTAACTACATGGTGACACAAATATTCAATTTATATGAAATCACCACGCCGCCACTAATAACATTCCATCTTAGGCCATTATGCCAAATTATCACAAGATTAATTGAGCTTAAACACATGCGGGCACAATTTCTACATCCAAAATGGGCACGGATGGCTGATGCATATGAGTGTATGAGTATATGACATACACAAAAGTTTATGTATTCTTCTAAGGAACTTAAAAGATTAATATTTCCTTTGCAATATAGATATTTTGATAATAAGATCAAAGTAATTCTTCTTCTAATTTAATTCTAAATTTCTATGATGTTATCTACATAATTCATCTTGCCTTTTCTAGTATTACCTACAATTGAGGATGAATTCGGTTCTAAATTTGAAAAGAATCGGAACCAGACCAGTAAATAACTAGTCCAATGGTTCTTTTTTAGTTCTGAATCAAAATCAGTTATGTATCCAAGTATCCAACTATGACAGATTGACAGAGCGAAGTACTTGTTCCGATTTTTACTTTTAAATTTTTTTTTTATTTTAAATTGGTTAAAAACAGAAATCGAATCAAAATTAGTTTATCTGGGTAAGGTATGAATGTAGCATGTCAACCTCTATACACATTCGTTCTCTGGGGGCAAAACATCAAATGAATCATACTAAGGGGGTGTATTGTATTGGGATTTAGTGGCAAAATTTTAGAAGTCCGTGGATTTTAGAAATCCAGGTGTATTCAATTAAGACTTTTAAAAGTCAATAAAAGTATGAGTGTATTCAATTAGGATTTCTAAAAGTCAATAAAAGTAGAGGTGTATTCAAAATATTAACAAATCTTGTGGAATTATAAAATAATGGATTTTCATGGACTTTAGACCTAGTCATACATATACTCGTTCTCACCAATTGTCTCGTACTTCCCCAAGAGATTTCACGCAGACTTTCTCCCCAGGTTTTCACGTCGCCTCTCCTCTCTCACCTTGCCGGCCAAGAACAACCGCCCCACCAGGTTCTCTTTTCTGGATTTCTTCTCCATATTTGTTCTTTGATTTTTCTGTACACCTATATTTGTTTTCTTTTCTTTGTTCGGACTTCGGAGTACAATTTTCTATGGTATATGTTTGATGTGTGTTGTGCTGCGTGTATATGTTTGTTGTGGGTATGAAGGACCCTGTAATGCACGGAAACGGCTGGGGTTGTAAATTTTGTTTGAAAACGGCTTTTTCCTTAACAAAAGAAAACGTACTGATCTTAATGGAAATAAGCACTTAATTCTTCTTTAATGTGTTGGAGTTTAACTTCTCAAGCATTATGAAAAAGGAATGATATTTCATGGTAAAACATATTGAAAAGACAATGTTGTTTAATTTTTGCGATTGTTCATCACAAGAAAACTCAAAAAACCATTTAGCAGAAACAACAACTTAGGCAAAACAGGTGCCAAACTTGGACCAGAATCATCCAATACCCTCTGTGTCACGCCCCGGACCTCCCCGGACACGTCAACAACCCGCCGTACAATATGAATAGTCAACCGCAGTCTAACACGTTCATATTATACAAGGCGTCTAGAATATCGCTCACACGCAAGCCATCCATAAACAACATAATAAGCAATCGAATACGTAGCGGAAAACATAGTTTGAAAACAAATGCCACACGTGGCTAACATGAGCACGCAAGCTCTATAGTAAAATATTCATGAGCATGTTTGTTAATGTTTAAAAAACCGAATGGAGGAAGCACGAACCAAGTCTTCCCTCCTAGATGATCTCTCGAGCAACGAGCACAGGAAGCAAGCTCTAGCCTCAACCTGAAAAATGGTGGTGGGACGCCCCCGAAGGGGTCAGCACTCTATAGGGCTATAAAGTGCTGGTGTGGATGGCATCTAATAGATATACAACAAGTATTTCAAACACAAGACCCTCAAATAGGGTGATAATATAATCTAGGCCGTAACCCCAAGTTACCCCTTTTTAAAATATACTTACTTTATATATAAAGTCAAGTAGTCGGCCCGTAAGCCCAAGGTTTGTTTATCAAACATAGCCCAAACCCCGTGACCCCTAGTCACAACAATATATAGGGTTCAACCCTAACACATATATTTGCATTCTCGAGTCCAACTCGACTACATCACCATGCACCTTATTTAACACAAGTTAACTACTCCACCGTGCATTTCTTGAGTCCAACTCAACTACATCACCATGCACCACAATCACCCCATCATGTCTACCCAATGCAATTCTATGAGCGCGGCTCAAGTACATCTCCTTACATTGGCATAGACCCCAATTCCTAAGCATTCGCTATGCCTAGAATTGTAATATCAATAATCTATTTTGGGACATCCTTACGGACTGCCCATCCATGGTCTTAGCATCACATTACATCAATTTAGTCACTTGTATCATAATCAAGTTCATCAATTACAATCAAATCCTTAGATTCAATTCTTCAACAATTACAACAATCATTAACTAGTATTTAAATACTATTAAGATTATTCTTATCCATTATATATTCCATTTGTAAAACCCTACATATTTAAAGATATGTAGCAGCAACTTAATCATTCAATGTAATACATAAATAATCATTTATGTATCTACACAATTCACACATGAGTAAAATGTCTATTTCACACAATAGTTCATTTAACTCCATTTCCATCAATACTTTACCAAATCATTTCCCATTTCATTCTTTGGAAAATAGATCAATATTTCATCAATATTTTATCATCATAATTCATGGAAAACATTATTTATGCATTTAGGTAATCTCATGCTTAACCTACAAGTTGTAAGCAACTAGATGTCGATCCTCACCTCAAATGAGCTTTAAAACTTTCCTTCTCGATCCAATGACCAAAGCCTCGGCCAAGGAAGATTGAGAACTGGTTCCTTGCTTGAAAATGGGTGTTAAACAGCTTCCTCAAGTTGCTAATTCAACCCCTAACCGTTGATACGAAAACAGCCCCTAGAACGGGTGTTTTCCGGCTAACTCGATTCCTAGTTTTCCAATATTTGCTCTAGATTAGTATCTAACCTTTACATCAATAAAATAACTTTATGGGGACATATTATGCACATTTATTAGTGTACAATAGTTCCACCAATCGTTCATATCATTTGGAAAATGAATGGAAAGGTTTTGGGATTAACAACTCACTTAGAAGAGTAAATCCGTTCCTGCGAGGTCGCGTTCTGCTCGGACGATTTGGAAGCCTTACTCTACTCCGATTGATGCAAACCAGACCTTCACGGATTTCTCGTCTTGAGAGCTTTCTTTTGGTATCTCACACGCCTTAATTGGATTGGTAAAACTCGAGATATCAACCAAACAGTTTCAGCACTCTCACAGCTCGAGTTCACAGACCACTGCTCGTTCCAGATCGATTTTTGGATGATTACTCTCTCCTCTCTAACAGAGACCACTCAATCATAAAAATAGACTTCAAAAGCTATCCAAGGACACCTCATTCACCTTATTTGGCCGAGTATAACATCACTCATGAAGGGAGACAACCAGCACCACTCTTTTGTGCGAAAATTGACTAGGTGGGGTTCCCTCTTGTTTCCTTTGTCAAGTCCAGCCCCTAGAGTCAGCTATGGCAGTCTCCTAACCTTATTTTTCTTGTCTTGCAGGTGGAAAAGAAAGGATGGGGCGCAGCATGTGTTCCCCAATTATTTTTGGGAGCAAAACATTAATCAATACATCCAAAATGGAAGAATGGGTCCTATTGTTTTATCTTTTGTCAAAGATGTCTTTTTGTACTCATCCTAACTTATTTAGAACAACTCAACTTCCTACATAACATTATTGATCTCCAATATGTGTAGGCTCATCTCAATAATTTACTTGATGGATAATATAGAAGGAAAATCCTACTCCCATTATTTGGCTCAATAATGCCAAAGATGGGGTTATAGGCATTTGTACTTTTCTTTAATCATCCTATCACTTATTTTGACATTGTCATTCATATTATTGGGCTACAAGCCGTGTGGGTCTCCCCGAGTGGGCCTACGACGCCATTCTCGAATACTTGCTATTTTAGCGGGTTGAGCCCAAAATAATATCTGGGCCGCCCACCCCTCCTCAACTTGTCTTGAAACGTTATGTATCACTATTTAGAAAATGCTAGGCCCTTTTATTTATTAATAAGGCCCGATACTAATATACGAGTTCGAACAGTATAATAATCAATCGTTAATTACGTAAAACAACAATCGTTTCACAATTGTTTGGGAATCATAAATTCAATACATAAACTTTGAATTTTTAATTTGAATTTTCAAGGACGTTCGGGTGCGGTGTCACAAGTTCACCCCCCCTTAACAGGAATTTCGTCCCCGAAATTCACAGCTCTACTCGAATAGGAAAGCATACTGTTTCCTCATCAAGGCCTCTGTTTCCCATGTCTCTTCTTCGACCCGGTCGCTCTTCCAAAGGACTTTAACCATCGGGACTTCTTTGCTCCTCAGTTTCTTCACCTTCCTATCGGTGACCTTGATTGGTTGCACAGCGTAGTTCAAATCCTCACGTACCTCCACAGGCGGCTTTTCTAATACGTGAGAGGGATCATGCACATACTTCTTAAGCATGGATACATGAAACACATTGTGTATCTTCTCTAACTCAGGAGTCAACTGTAGACGATATGCTACGGCCCCAATCCTCTCTATAATTCTGAATGGACCTATATATCGTGGGTTAAGTTTTCCTCAGGTTTGGAATCGAATGATTCCTTTCCAAGGGGAAACTTTCAAGAATACCTCGTCATTAACCTTAAACTCCAAGGTCCTTCGACGCTTATCTGCATAACTCTTCTGTCTGTCCTGAGCCGCTTTGAGTCTCTCTTGAATCAACTTCACCTTTGACTTGGTGATCTCAACCAATTCGGTACCCTCGAGTTTGGCCATGCCAACCTCATCCCAGCATAACGGGGTACGGCACTTCCTCCCATACAATGCCTCGTATGGAGGCATGCCAATGCTCGCCTGATAACTGTTGTTATAGGCAAACTCCACAAGTGCTAAGTGGTTGTCCCAACTTCCTTGGAACTCCAATGCACAAGCCCTCAGCATGTCTTCTAAGATCTGTATGACTCTTTCAGACTGCCCATCCGTCTGTGGGTGGAAAGCAGTACTGAACTTCAGCCTCGTTCCCATAGACTCCTGAAATTTCGGCCAAAAACGTGATGTGAATCGTGGGTCTCTATCAGATACAATGGTCACTGGGACCCCATGCAGCCTCACGATCTCATCCGTATACAATTTGGCTAACCTCTCAAGTGGGTAGGTAGTGTTGATAGGCAAGAAGTGTGCACTCTTCGTGAGCCTATCCACAACAACCCAAACTGCATCATAGTTCCGAAGTGTCCGTGGTAAACCTACCACGAAGTCCATTGTCACATGTTCCCACTTCCATTCAGGAATGGAAAGTGGTTGTAACAAGCCTGCTGGATGCTGATGTTCTGCCTTAACTTGTTGACAAGTAAGGCATCGACTGATGTACTCGGCTATCTCCCTCTTCATTCCAGACCACCAGTAACTTGCTTTCAAATCACGGTACATTTTCGTGCCCCCCGGGTGCATGGCATAAGCCGATGAATGAGCCTTCTCTAAGATGGACTTTCGGAGCTCATCATCTGACGGTACACACACTCGGTCACGAAATAACAAGAGACCATCATCTCTTTCCTTGAAATCCTCCACCGGTCCCGCTTGCATGCGTTCCCGGATCTTCATAATTTCTTCGTCAGCTTCCTGACTCTTCTTGATCTCATCAAGTAAGGTAGGTCTCACCTCAAATCGTGCCAATAAGGCACCATCGCTAGATACCTCCAGTTGGGCTCTTAATGCCCTCAAATTAGCTAGCAATGCCCCAGACGAGCTCTTCCGGCTCAAGGCATCTGCCACCACGTTTGCCTTGCCTGGGTGATACTCTATCACTAGATGGTAGTCTTTTATCAACTCCATCCACCGTCTCTGTCTCATGTTTAGCTCCTTCTGAGTAAACACGTATTTCAAGCTCTTGTGATCAGTGTATATGTGACATGTCTCCCCGTAGAGATAATGTCTCCATATCTTCAGTGCAAACACCACAGCCCCCAGCTCCAAGTCATGAGTAGGATAATTCATCTCGTGCTTCTTCAACTGTCGTGAAGCATAGGCGATTACCCTCCCATTCTGCATCAACACGCATCCAAACCCTTGGATGCTCGCGTCACTATAGACATCGTACCCCACACCCTGTTTGGGTAATGCAATTCAAGTACCGGTGCCTCGGTCAATTTCTTCTTCAGTTCGATGAATCCTTTCTCACATTTGTCATCCCATATAAACTTAGCTCCCTTTCGAGTGAGCTTCGTCAACGGCGACGCCAAAACAGAGAACTTTTCCACGAACTTTCTGTAATAGCCTGCCAATCCAAGGAAGCTACGAATTTCCTTGACATTCTTTGGTCTCTCCCATTCGGTAATGGCTTCTATCTTCTTGTTATCAACAGCAATTCCCGATCCTGAAACCACGTGCCCGAGAAAGCCAATTTCCTTTAGCCAAAATTCACATTTAGAAAATTTGGCATAAAGTTGCTTCTCCCGTAGTGTCTCAAGAACAAGTATCAAATGCTCCTCGTGCTCTTCTTCACTCTTCGAGTAAATCAAGATATCATCTATGAACACAATCACGAACCGATCCAAGTATTTATGGAATACTCGGTTCATCAAGTCCATGAATGCCGCTGGGGCGTTTGTTAACCCAAACGACATAACAAGGAACTCAAAATGCCCATACCTTGTGCGGAAAGCACTCTTTGGTATGTCGTCTTCCTTAATCTTCAATTGATGGTACCCCGACCTCAAGTCAATCTTCGAAAACACGGTTGCTCCTCGTAGTTGATCAAACAAGTCATCAATCCTAGGCAAGGGATACCTATTCTTGATTGTGACCTTGTTCAGTTGACGATAGTCAATGCACATTCGAAGTGTCCCATCTTTCTTCTTCACAAAAAGAACTGGTGCTCCCCACGGGGAGTGGCTTGGTCTAATGAAACCATTATCCAAAAGCTCTTGCAATTGGGTTTTCAACTCGTTAAGTTCAGCGGGTGTCATACGGTATGGCGGTATGGAGATTGGTTTGGTGCCGGGCTCGACCTCGATCACAAATTCAATCTCTCTATCGGGTGGAAGTCCCGGTAAATCTTTTGGAAAGACATCCGGATACTTACAAACCACCCTTACATCGTCGATGTTTGTTTCTTCTTTGGTTTTGTCAACCACGTATGCTAGATATGCGTGGCATCCCTTTCTCATCATACTTCTCGCTCTCACGGCGGATATGATACAGCTATTTGATCTCCCTCGATCGCCCTCGAAGCGTAGGGTCTCCCCATCATTGCCTTCGAGTTCAAGAACCTTCGTGTAGCAATCTACCCTAGCATGGTTCCTTTCTAGCCAATCCATCCCTAGGATTGCATCGAATTCAATCATGCTCAGCGGTACGAAGTCACACGTCAAGGTTTGACCATTAACCTCCACCCCACAAGATGGATAGTAACAAGTTCTTTCCACGTCGTCCCCTAGTGGTGTTGATACCACTAAGGTTTGCATCAATGGTGCGGATTGCACTCCCAATCTCTTGGCGAACGCTTCATTCACAAATGAACGTTGCGCCCCGGTATCGATAAGGATTCGCGCATCCTTCCCATTAATCTTTAGTGTTCCTACATTCATGAACCGTGTAAGACATCTTTCCTACCCTCCCTACTCATTTATAGAAGGTTACAATGTTCACACGCACGTTAGGGATCAAGAAAAGGTCTTATCGTCGCAAAACGGTGCGAAAAAATCGCACTTCGGCAATCTGGGTGCCAGGCACGGCGTGCCTGGGGTAGGCACGATCGTGCCTGGCTCCGGAAAAAGCCCTGGGGCTACTGCCTTGGAGGCACGATCGTGTCTGCCTTAGGCACGATCGTGCCTGGTTTGGGGAAACACCTGGGGAGCTACTGCCTTGTAGGCACGATCGTGTCTGCCTTAGGCACGATCGTGCCTGGGCTGGGGAAATTCCTGGGCAGCTACTGACTTGGAGGCACGATCGTGTCTGCCTTAGGCACGATCGTGCCTGGGTTCCAGCCGCCTGAAGTTGCCCGAAATCCCCCGGTTTGACCCCAAAACCTTGTGCAATGATCCTAGCGATTAGTAACCTCAATTTATGGACTAAATAAGGATAAAACACTAGCATACGAGAGGCAATACCTGCAACGGAATCCGGGTTAGCTTGAGCATCCGCCTCCGTCATCGCGTAGACCCTAGCTTGAGTCCTTCCTTGATTCACGGACGGCGCATTGCTTGCGCTTGCTCCCCCTTGCCCCCTGGATGCTTGTGAAGTCCCGGCTTGATTCCGTGTCCCGGTATTACCACTACTTGGTCCCGATGACCTTGCCCCACCCAATTGTGGGCAATTCATCTTCAAGTGCCCGGTGTTTCCGCATTGATAGCATCTAGGAGGGTCACGACATTTCCCCAGGTGGTTCCTCTTGCAATTCTTGCAACGAGTCCCCCCCGAGGCTTGTGATTGCCCGCCCGGGCCTTGACTCCCCCTAGATGGCAGTGGGGGTGTCCGAAAGGATCCTCCTCCCCCATGGTTCCCCTTTTTGCTAGGACCTTGAGGTCCATGGTTCTCCCACTTTCTCTTCTTCGCCTCTTCGGCGTTTTTCAACTTTCTCTCTTCCCATTCTTTCTCTCCTTTCAACCCTTGCTCGACCACTTGGCTAAAGGTCATGTTAGGCAACTGTGTTGCCCTCTCACGCACCTCCAGGTCTAAGGCATCCCAGAAGTGATTTACCATCCGGTTCTCGTCACAGACATACTCCGGTATGAACTCCGCGAGCTCCCTGAATTTATGTTCAAGTTGCCTCACCGTCATCTTGCCACCTTGGGTCAGGAGGGTATACTCTCTCCTTTTAGCGTTCACCTCAAAATCAGAATAATATTGGGCAAAGAACTTCTGTCGGAAATTCTCCCAAGTCACGGTATTGCCATACTTTCCCTTGGCTCCATCCCACCATGTGGATGCCATCCCTTCAAGCAATCTCACCGCCACCCTTAGTTTAAATTCGGGGGTGAGTTGCATATCAAGGGCTGCCTCGTTCAACCTCTTGATCCATTCCGCGGCGACCGAGATGTCGCCTGCTCCGTTGAAGGGTTTGCACCCCAAGTCCCTAGCCTCTTTAAGAAATTTTGAGATCCTTATGATTGGACCTCCATCACCCCGGCCCCCATGTGGTTCAATGTGGGCCCGAGAATCGCCATGGCTTCTTCCTCTTGAAGCCTCACCCGAAATTCGCCCTCCCCGGCGCCTTCGGCGTTCCCTCCTTTCCTCGCGCTCCCGTTGATATTGTTGGAGCAGCGCCTCTATTCTTGCTAGGGAGTCATTCTCCCCCTCTTCATCGCTCACATCATCGTCATCCCCTTCGTAAGGGGTCTCAACCGGCTCGGTTTCCGGTTGGTAAGTCGAGTCCTCATAGGACCAGTAGGTTTCACTTTCTGTGTCAACATGACCGTCACTCACGGTCTGTGATCGGCCTCCACGGCCAGCTCCTCTAGATGCCCTAGAGGTCCTTCGACTGCCCTGTCCAGTCTCCTCTGGTACACGGCCGGTCGGGTTTCTCCTAGTAATCCTGCCACCACGGTCCATTTCTGAAAGAAATTGGGAAAGAGTCGTTAGACTCGTATCAAATGTCAATTGACGGATAGGTACTTAAGACACATTTTGGCTCGAGTCACTGCCATACCAATTGCTAAGGGTACCATCTTAACAATTAGAGACCTTGCAACTCAAGTACCAAAAGCTCTCCAAGTACAAAACTTCTATGCTCATGGTTTTCAAAATCTTTTCAAAAGAGAATTTTGAGACTTCATTATGAAGTTTATGGACTAAGGCTCTGATACCAACTTGATTGTCACGCCCTGGACCTCCCCGGACACGTCAACAACCCGCCGTACAATATGAATAGTCAACCGCAGTCCAACACGTTCATATTATACAAGGCGTCTAGAATATCGCTCACACGCAAGCCATCCATAAACAACATAATAAGCAATCGAATACGTAGCGGAAAACATAGTTTGAAAACAAATGCCACATGTGGCTAACATGAGCACGCAGGCTCTATAGTAAAATATTCATGAGCATGTTTGTTAATGTTTAAAAAACCGAATGGAGGAAGCACGAACCAAGTCTTCCCTCCTAGATGATCTCTCGAGCAACGAGCACAGGAAGCAAGCTCTAGCCTCAACCTGAAAAATGGTGGTGGGACGCCCCCGAAGGGGTCAGCACTCTATAGGGCTATAAAGTGCTGGTGTGGATGGCATCTAATAGATATACAACAAGTATTTCAAACACAAGACCCTCAAATAGGGTGATAATATAATCTAGGCCGTAACCCCAAGTTACCCCTTTTTAAAATATACTTACTTTATATATAAAGTCAAGTAGTCGGCCCGTAAGCCCAAGGTTTGTTTATCAAACATAGCCCAAACCCCGTGACCCCTAGTCACAACAATATATAGGGTTCAACCCTAACACATATATTTGCATTCTCGAGTCCAACTCGACTACATCACCATGCACCTTATTTAACACAAGTTAACTACTCCACCGTGCATTTCTTGAGTCCAACTCAACTACATCACCATGCACCACAATCACCCCATCATGTCTACCCAATGCAATTCTATGAGCGCGGCTCAAGTACATCTCCTTACATTGGCATAGACCCCAATTCCTAAGCATTCGCTATGCCTAGAATTGTAATATCAATAATCTATTTTGGGACATCCTTACGGACTGCCCATCCATGGTCTTAGCATCACATTACATCAATTTAGTCACTTGTATCATAATCAAGTTCATCAATTACAATCAAATCCTTAGATTCAATTCTTCAACAATTACAACAATCATTAACTAGTATTTAAATACTATTAAGATTATTCTTATCCATTATATATTCCATTTGTAAAACCCTACATATTTAAAGATATGTAGCAGCAACTTAATCATTCAATGTAATACATAAATAATCATTTATGTATCTACACAATTCACACATGAGTAAAATGTCTATTTCACACAATAGTTCATTTAACTCCATTTCCATCAATACTTTACCAAATCATTTCCCATTTCATTCTTTGGAAAATAGATCAATATTTCATCAATATTTTATCATCATAATTCATGGAAAACATTATTTATGCATTTAGGTAATCTCATGCTTAACCTACAAGTTGTAAGCAACTAGATGTCGATCCTCACCTCAAATGAGCTTTAAAACTTTCCTTCTCGATCCAATGACCAAAGCCTCGGCCAAGGAAGATTGAGAACTGGTTCCTTGCTTGAAAATGGGTGTTAAACAGCTTCCTCAAGTTGCTAATTCAACCCCTAACCGTTGATACGAAAACAGCCCCTAGAACGGGTGTTTTCCGGCTAACTCGATTCCTAGTTTTCCAATATTTGCTCTAGATTAGTATCTAACCTTTACATCAAAAAAATAACTTTATGGGGACATATTATGCACATTTATTAGTGTACAATAGTTCCACCAATCGTTCATATCATTTGGAAAATGAATGGAAAGGTTTTGGGATTAACAACTCACTTAGAAGAGTAAATCCGTTCCTGCGAGGTCGCGTTCTGCTCGGACGATTTGGAAGCCTTCCTCTACTCCGATTGATGAAAACCAGACCTTCACGGATTCCTCGTCTTGAGAGCTTTCTTTTGGTATCTCACACGCCTTAATTGTATTGGTAAAACTCGAGATATCAACCAAACAGTCTCAGCACTCTCACAGCTCGAGTTCACAGACCACTGCTCGTTCCAGATCGATTTTTGGATGATTACTCTCTCCTCTCGAACAGAGACCACTCAATCATAAAAATAGACTTCAAAAGCTATCCAAGGACACCTCATTCACCTTATTTGGCCGAGTATAACATCACTCATGAAGGGAGACAACCAGCACCACTCTTTTGTGCGAAAATTGACTAGGTGGGGTTCCCTCTTGTTTCCTTTGTCAAGTCCAGCCCCTAGAGTCAGCTATGGCAGTCTCCTAACCTTATTTTTCTTGTCTTGCAGGTGGAAAAGAAAGGATGGGGCGCAGCATGTGTTCCCCAATTATTTTTGGGAGCAAAACATTAATCAATACATCCAAAAATGGAAGAATGGGTCCTATTGTTTTATCTTTTGTCAAAGATGTCTTTTTGTACTCATCCTAACTTATTTAGAACAACTCAACTTCCTACATAAGATTATTGATCTCCAATATGTGTAGGCTCATCTCAATAATTTACTTGATGGATAATATAGAAGGAAAATCCTACTCCCATTATTTGGCTCAATAATGCCAAAGATGGGGTTATAGGCATTTGTACTTTTCTTTAATCATCCTATCACTTATTTTGACATTGTCATTCATATTATTGGGCTACAAGCCGTGTGGGTCGCCCCGAGTGGGCCTACGACGCCATTCTCGAATACTTGCTATTTTAGCGGGTTGAGCCCAAAATAATATCTGGGCCGCCCGCCCCTCCTCAACTTGTCTTGAAACGTTATGTATCACTATTTAGAAAATGCTAGGCCCTTTTATTTATTAATAAGGCCCGATACTAATATACGAGTTCGAACAGTATAATAATCAATCGTTAATTACGTAAAACAACAATCGTTTCACAATTGTTTGGGAATCATAAATTCAATACATAAACTTTGAATTTTTAATTTGAATTTTCAAGGACGTTCGGGTGCGGTGTCACACTCTGGCCTTAATGTAGAGCTATTGCCCACTACCCACAAGCAATACCAACAAGTCTATAACAATAGCAAAAAAGCACAGAATATTCAAGACTAACATATAGGGACTCCACATATATCATATATACAAAATATTCAGCTTTAAAGCCTTGCAATAAGGTTAAGAAGTTCATGATTTACTGTATCATGACTTGGGATTACATTATAGAAGCAGTCCATTGTTTTATATGTGGGTTTGTATTGAGCATAAAAGTGGGTTTTATATATCTAATTGTGATAAGTGGTGTATTGAGCATAAAAGAATTTTAATAGGGATGATGTGTTCCACTAAGGAGTAAACCGTATAATGTCTATATAGTGTTAAATCATCTTTTTTAATGTTTATTCGTATGTATTTGAGGCCTTTTGGAACATTGTTTTTCGGGTTATAAGGCATATCAGCCAACTTTTTCACCAACCACGTAACTTTTGCTTTCGCGCGCTAAATAGTGTAATAAGGAGAAATAGTAAGGTTTGAGTTACTTTTCTGGCTGTATTGACTAAGTTATTCTAGATGACCATGTTAGCTATTTTTACATATAATTTTTTCTTTATTTTATTAATAAAATCTATTTTTAAAGTTATTTTTTCATAAATCAACAGAATCAGCCAATGCAACCACTTCAGCCAGAATTTCATAAATTTCCGCAGAATCAGCCAAATCAACTGATTTTCGTGCTATCAAACGGGCTCTTTATATATGTATCTATACACTCTAAAAGGAAGTAAGCATATTGAGCAGGTTGAAGCTACAAAAAAAAAATTAAAACAGCACCTCCTTTCTCTTATAAAACACAAGCAGAATTAGTTTTGGCATGTGCAGGAGTACATAATTTTCTTCGACGTGAATGTCGATCTGACGAATTTCCTCCGGACCCAGAAGAAGACCCACCTAGCGATGATGAGGACAATCTTGAATGGGATAATTTTCAGACACAAGATCAACAGAGGAAAAAGGCCAATGAATGGAGGATGAATCTTGCTAATCAAATGTGGGCAGCGGCAGAAAATGAATAATTTTGATCCATAGTTCAGTAGCACAAGACGTTTGTTCCCATATTGTGCATTGATGACATTATTTTTTTCTTATATTTTTTAATGGTTATGTTTGACCTCATTCGGAATAGAGAACATTAGCTATTATATTTGTCATATTTTCTGTGTAGTGATTCTTATTTATTTAAGTCTGGTTTGCTTTGTTAAAGTCTGGATTAGTTTGATTTGGTCTGAAATAAGTTCAAGTAAAAGTCTATGGATTTCAATGAAATCCATAGAAGTCATTCATTAAAAAGTCATTCATTTTAAAAGTCCACGGATTTAAAAGTCGGCAGATTAAAAGTCTATGGATTTAAAAGTCCACAGACTTTTTTAGAAGTCCATGGATTAAAAAAAGTCCACCACAATCCATATTCAATACACCCCCTAAATTATGTTTTTATTGTAGCTGGGGCAAAACATCAAATGAATAGTACTAATTTATGCTTTTATTGTAGTTGTCCTATTGTTTGTTTGAAACCGTCATATTTTATGCTTTTAGCAAACTTCCTATTTATGTTAGAGTGACAATAGTACCAGGTATACCACTATAACAGTAGTAACATCCTACACATTCACCTTCTAAGTTCTAACCATCTAGCCTATTTAGTTTTCGTATGTTTTAAATATTTTATGCTAATATTTAATGAAATTTAAAAGATTGCGTCGAATATTATATTATACTCCCTCCGTTCCGGAAAATTCTTCCCAATTTGGCTCAAGGCTGGATTAGGGCCGCCGGTTCTAAATAGGTGGGCCCGGGACCGGCCCGGGTAGCCACCGGGTCCGGTCCGGGTCCGGGACTCCGGGCCGGGCCTCGAGTCAATTTTTTTCCCTTTTCCTAATTAACCCCCCCCCCCACCCCCAACCCCCCAAACCACCCCAAATGGCCCAAAATACCCAGCCCAACCCGAAAAGTTAAAAAAAATTGGGAAAAAAAATTAAAAAGCCCGGAACCGGGCCGGTTCGGCTTTTGGGTGACCCGAGCCCGCACCGGGAACCCCCGGGCCGGGCCTACCCGGACCGGTCACTGGCCGGGCCACCAGTCCGGGCCGGTTCAGCACAGTACCGGTCCTGGGCTGGTTCCGGGTCGGGCCACCGGCCCGAGTCCAGGACTAGTTTGACTTGGATCGTAGTTTAAGAAAATGGAAATAAAGTGAAAATGTATGATTGTGTTTGAATAAGAAAAGGTAAATGAATAGCAGCCACACAAACCTTTCCAAAGAGGGAAACGGGGAGAATTTTTTGCAACGTCCCAAAAAGGTAAGTGGGAAAAAATTCTGCGACGGAGGGAGTACTTCAGAAGTAATTCCTCCACATTGTGGCCTTCTGTATAAGTAGCGGAAATAGTCTAGTTTTACACATTATAAACTTCTATTCATTATCTTGTTCTAAAGATTCACTTATTTTACTTAGGTTAGAAAGTACATTTGAGAGTATCTATTTAACAAGTGTCAAAAAATAGACTCTCTAGACCGACTATAAGAGAGTTTTTTTCACTTTTAGTCCTCCGACTATTATGTCAGTGACACTTTTGGTACTCGACTTTGATTTTTTCCATTTTTAGTCCTTGTCTATTGCGCTAGAGACACTTTTGGTACCCATCTTTGAAAATTTCCATATTTAATCCAACTTTCATAAAAGTGACATTTTTGGTCCTTCAACTGTTATAACGGTGACATTTTTAGTCCTCCATTTATTGTGTCGAAATCATAGTGAGATGACTAAAAGTGTCAATTTGACAATGCTCATGGACTAAATGTGGGAAATCTTAAAGTAGGGGACTAAAAGTGTCTCTAGCACAATAGTAGAGGACTAAAAATGGAAAAATTAGAAGTCGAGTATCAAAAGTGTCATTGACATAATAGTCAGGGGCCAAAACGGCAAAAACTCGACTGTAAGAGGAATACAAATACACTCAAATCCTTGTGTGAAACGAAATTGAATTTCCTATCAGAAAGATCTTTGCATATTTATCTATTTACAGACCAGTTTATTCATGATAGATTGATAAAAACAAGTACGTATGAAAATGCAGTAGAGGTGATGAATATCTACGACACAAACTCTTATCATTCGAGCTTAAAGGCTCATAGGTAGACATCTATTGAACATAGAATTCACTTGAACCCCAAACATCTCAGGCCTTGAACAACCAGCACAAGTTACACTAATGGCACAAGTTGTAAAGTTCAGCAACAAAAGATGGTCACGTAAAATGGACTAAACACAATAACTTTTCTGAATTATACTAATTGTGTGGAACTTTATCGTCGTCTTAGTTATATGAGGTTTGGTCATATACCGTACAAAATTAACCAAAAATACAGCCCATGAGTCTCGCGGGCTGGGTCAAGCGGATTTCAGCTTGGCTGATGTTGAAGCTAAGTGAGCGAGGGTCGAGTGTCCAACAAACATCAAGAAGATTGCAAGGATTCCCAGAGCTTTCAATGTGGTGAACAAATTCAACTACAAACACAAACAGATGAAGCAAACTTTAACACAATTTGTTGTTGCGAGGGGAGGGAGGTACTTAAATTTTTGCGCACAGATTCACAGAATAATAAACTGGAAAATCAGAATTAGAGCCTGTTTGGATGCCATATAAATTTCATTCTGCTTATGAGCAAAATAATAAACTGGAAAATCAGAATTAGAGCCTGTTTGGATGCCATATAAATTTCATTCTGCTTATGAGCAAAATAAGCAATAAATAGCGTTTGCCCTACTTATTTAGCTGATATGGGTATGTTACCAAACCTTCTCATTTCAAAAAATTCAACAGATGAAGCCAAATAACCCGAACAAAGCATGCTCTATGTAGCCTTTGACTTAATAGGATGAAATTAATGCTTTCAAACACTTTCTTTCAGATTCAGTCCTTTTTCAGCCAAATAATAGAGTAAAAAGTAAAGACGTGGTTTTTGTAGCATTAATAAGAGTCCAAAGAGTAGACCTTCAACCAGAAGAGTAGATACAGTGTAAGAATAGCTGCGATGCCAGCATGGAAAAGAGCGGCAAATATAGCAGGTATGGTAGCAGTTGGGAAGCTCTTCAAATTCACTCCCAACCGTAAAAGCTGTCAACACAAAAATAAGCAAAGATAATAAATTGGTCATGGTTTGAGACCATAGTCCTAAGCTTTCTTTAATGGCCAAAGCAACATTTGTTGCCAGGAAAAGCAAAACAAGGAA